GAATGATAATATCAATGAAATATGTGAATATTGTTACGGAGCAGGTTTGCGCTCTATAAATTATGTAGTAAAAATTGAACAAATTTTGTCCATTTTGTCCTCTTTCTATGAAATATGACATAAAATCCAAATGGTTTGGGACGTCATAGAAACAAAAATTGCCAATAACCTACATCGGAACTATAATATTTCTTGTTAATTCAGAGTTTTCACACAAAGTATACAATTTAGTACATTTCAAGAAATTTTCAAAATTTGATTTTTGTGGGGGCAAAAATTATGCATATACGCATATAGCTCTTTTTGGAAAGAGAGCCCTTCCATTAAAAGAAAATGAACTTTTGCGGAGAGCAGAAAAAGACTATTCCAGCTTTTTTATATATTTCTTTTAATTATAATCTTGTAATTTTTTACAACAACTTGTGAAAAAAATTCAATATGAGCTCACTTAGAATATTGATTCGTAAAATGCTCCAAGATCTTACATGTAACATAATATTGCTGGTATAATCATTACATTCAAAATTATGTTATAATCAATAGTATTTAACAGTTGTTTAAAAAACTTTCAAAATCAATCCTGAAAAGCCTACAGTAGAACGAATTACCGCTCTTTCGCCTTGCTAGCACACAGTCCACAGTCATTTGTATACTCAGAATTCGCGACTTTTTAAATTTTATTTTACACAGCATATTCAATTTGTTGAAAATTAAATAAATATATAGTTCTACACCAATAAACCTAACAAAAATTACTAAAAACAATTACATTAGCTAACATACATGTAAGTACATGTACATACTTTAACACTTTGGTTTACTATGTTTTAGAATATTTGTTGATAAGCAATAATCTTTATCAATGATATATAAACCTGCGGGAGAAAATAGTTCTACCAAGAAAGTCGGGTTTAATGCATACTTTTGCTTATGGCCATAGGAACTGGGGGGGGGGGGGGCACGGGCTGTGCCCCCTTTCAATAATTTTGCCGATATATAGATTACTATAGAAAACATAGTTACTTTATTCTTGTGTCCCCTCCATAAAAATGTTGATGACCTATTTTTTGGCTTGTCAAAGAATTTTTGGTAGTTGATAATGCCCCCCCCCAACTGAAAATATAAGGATGTCCCCACCCCCTCCCCTCCACCCCCCCAAAAAAACCCCAAAAAACTGAAATTGCTTCCTACGAGCCTGTTGCTCAAATGTCCATTGCATCGTCCATAAAAGTGATATACATGTATCATATCTTTAATGAATAGGTTTATATTACACAAAGGCTTATAAATTTTCTTGGTAGGTTAATTATTCTGCAGGCGTACCGGTGTTTTAGAATGGCATATGACCTCAATTTGGCGGTAAGTTTAGGAGACGTATTTGAAACGCTGACATTTCAGTCCACAATTGGCCGTTTGAATCTTAAAAGCTAATTAAAGTAGCAAGAGTAAGAAATAAAGTACATTTTTAATTAAGGAATAGCGCACTACAGACGGGTAAAAGCATAATATATCCTGAAATGAAAAAGAAAGGCAGGGTAACACCGTCATGCCAAAAATTTTTGACTGCATGGCCAAAATTTACCAAAAAAAGGTCAAAGGGGTATCTTGGTAATTATGCACTCAAATCGGTGTTCAGAATTACCCAACCATGAAATGTATGACGTCACGTAGGGAAAATGGTAAAAAAGCCAAAACACGTGAATATTGATGATGACAGGTTGGTCAACACATCTTGTTAATATACCAATCGATGCACTGAAGATATACACATTGTTTTTCAATATGGAAAGACAATTTCAATTTTTCGTAATCATGATGTGGCTGACGGAAATTCCATGGGGTTCGGCTATTGCATTGCCTAAGTATGGAAAAAGGAAAGAAGGGGTGCTGTGCAGTTTGTTGTGAATTTTGTCAACACAGAACGTCATACCCATCGTCAGAAAGGGACTGGAAACATTTTCAATCAAGCTTGACGATGACGTTGGCGCGTAACAACGCCACGTCAAGATTGGGCTATTCATCCTACCATCTGTAAAATCGCCACATATGACCACTGAAACCACTATTAATACAGTAGGCACTCATAATCGTTACATTCATCCAAAAACTGAAAGAAACCCATTGCGCGATTTTGGTTTGTGAGCTCGTCAACTTTACTAACTGGACAGTAGGGTTTAAAGGAATGCCTAAGCTACTCTCGACCAAACGAAGCGCTGCATTGTCGAAAGGGTTAAATAATATCCCTATGAGAAAGATAAATGGTCTTATGAACTCCATGCAGAGAAGTATTAAGGCTGTGACATATGCGCGAGGGAGGCATAGGATAGGACAAAGATCACCAAATGTTTTCCCATAGACTTCCATACAAAGTTGAGCGCCTGTCACTGATTCATCTATTAAATTTTGGGCAAATGACTTTCTTGCCATGAAAGTTCAAGATCTTGCAACACAAAACATGTCAGAAAAAATATACCGTGCCGCGGCACTTTTACTTTCAAATTCCATTTGTTTACAACTAGGTGCGTTCAGCACCAAATGAAAATCTCTAACGAAAGTGCATCCCTACCTTCAAATTTTTACCTGTAACTCCTATATATCTCAAAGGAGCCCAAGTCTTGATATGAGATTTTTATCACCTTTATTTCACTTGTCAAATACATAACAAGTCTTTTCTCTTAATGACCAATCACGATCCAGGTAGCATTTTCTTCTCCGCACAACTTTGGTGTCCAAAATGTCAGCGCCCATGCATATGATTATGTAGGTGTTTTTCCAGGAGATAATGAGGAGTTTCGATTTTCACTTTTGAGGGGTCGGTCATTTGAGTTTCAATAACTCATGAATTATGGGTCAAAAACAAATGAGATTTTGCTTACTTCTTTAAATGTTAGATAACAATACTGGAAATTATGTTCGAAAATAGAACATTAAATCACTTCAAAAGTTTACCCTGCGTTATTTTTTCCTTTCAGTATAAAATGCAAGAAATAATACTCAAAATTTGCGACGAAAAATGTTGCCTTTATATTAATTAAGTAAATAAGTAGCTCACTGACCAGTATGTCTATTTGAATTTTCTTTCCCAGCAGCTACAGCTCTCAAGCTAGGAGACATGTACTTCAAGTCCTTGTCAAATTAATTCGAAAACAAGAGGCGGTTACAAAATGACATTAATGATATATATAATACGAGAATATTTTTTATCTAAATTTAACATCAATTATAGTTATATGATTTTACACGCTTTCAATTTAAATGTTTCTGTATAAATCTATACTAAATCAATGTCATGGCAATACTGATAATATTAATTGGCACACATTTCTCCTATTTCTATAGTATAATATGATGGCCGGGTGAAAAATCTACCAGTATACATCATATTCAAATTTCACTATACATGAACCTGAAGGACTTGCATAATTGAGGAGCTGTACTGCACCATGTGTACTGAAACAAATAGTGATACTAAAAGTTCATCCATGACAACTGACTTAGCAAGTCATGTGCATTCCACCAGACTCTAGCCTAGCATCAATGCACTCTGTTTCAGATTTGAGTAGTTGGACACCCTGTCAGCCTGTCGAGGATTCTTTTGGTGATGGGTTTTAACGATTCACTGTTGAATAAATCCAAGACGTCTGATCAAGCTTTCATGTACAATCTGCACATGCAGTATTCAGTGTATAGTCGTTTGCCGTTTCCCCCTGTCTATTTATCATTTTTAAAAAGTTCGAGTTCTAGCTACCTTTTCTTTATTATTATTTCTTTCATGCATGTTGTATGATTGTATACCGGTTTTGTTTGTTTGTATGTTGTTTAACGTCCCTCTCGAGAATTTTTCACTCATATGGAGACGCCACCACTTGCCGGTGGAGAACTGCAAATTTTGTCCTATACACGGCACTTACGGTCATTGAGCAGTGAATGATCTTTTTCAGGCCAGCACCTACTACGACACGAGACCTCGGTTTATAAGGTCTCATCCGAATGATCGGTCTCCACGACCCACAGTGGGATTCGAACCCGCGACGTAAGGATCAACTCCTTACCCCGCGACTGTAGAGCGAACGCTCTAACCACTGCGCCACGCGGGCGACTTCTAACTTTTGAGAGTTTTTTTTTAATACAACATAAACGAAACAATATGTTATTGCTTCTGGTGTACAAAATTATTGATCAGGCGTAACTTGTATTTTTCTCCTTGACTTTGATTCTAATCATTCGACTTTGGTACAGGTTACGACACATCTTCTTATTGTTAGCAACATTTACATTGGTTCCGGGCATGAGATAATTATGTTCGACCATATAAAATTATGGATATAAACTAAACATTTCAACCCCTTTGACTTTCACCTTTTTCAAGATATCCACGAGTCAATCAGACGAAAAATCTTAATTATGATAATTAGGTACACCTGCATGAAGTGTTATTTTTAAAGTTTCTAAATTTCAAACTAATGGATCAGTCAGGAAAGAATTCCCAAACACTCTGTCTGAAACATGTTTAATGACCATATTCAGGGCCATCATATATGAACTAGTCATAGGCAAGAACATTAAATGCTTATTTAATATTACATTTAGACTGCATAGTATTACATAATTTACACTTCCGGTTTCTATGACCTTTCACGTTGAAATGACCATACCTCAAATTCTAGTTATGCTCTATTATCCGACGAAATTCTATGTATCAAATTCAAATTAAACTAAACATGAACCTGAAGGACTTGAGTAATTAAGGAGCTTTACTGCACCATGTGTACTGAAACAAATCATGTTACTGAAAGTTCATCCATCACATCTGACTTCGCATGTCATATTAATTCATACTACTGCACAAATATAACATTTCTTTCACAAGTATTAACAACGTAAAGAGACAAAAGAAATACGCCAAGCTATCTTTGCTATCGAAAACCTTGAAGTTGAGTATGAAAACTGAAAGTAATGTTAATTAGAACACCTTTATTTTTTATAATCAAATTTTAGAATCAACCAGAATGTGGGAAATGGTGTGGATCTATCGCTATATGCGCGCAGACAGCCAAGTTTGACCCAAACTGGTGACCGTCACAATGACAGGTTGTGTAGCGGTTCATGTGATAGGTATCCCCAGCTTTTATTATATGTCCATCAGGAGCTTTGCAATTATGACCTGAAAAATATATCCTTTTATATAAATGAAGTGATACAGCATCATTGTAATGTCTGAAGTTGGTATACATCTGTTCTCTTTACAGGGAAGTACATGTACTAGCCCCCCCTTGTTTAAGTGCATTGTGACAGTCTTGTGTTTCTTAGACCGAAAATATTCCAGTCAAAACCAACAATTGCTTCGCTCAGTGCAAACGGGTAACTGATTTTCTTTACCAGTTGTATCATCTAAAACAACGTAACAATTGCGATTGCACTTAAAGTCATGATCAGCTAACATCACGCTTATAATGAACATTTTTGTACTTAAGAACTCCTTTAATTAATCCTGAAATCAGTGTTACAGGTATTTGGCTGTAGCATATATTCCTCAATTTTCCGATGCTGCTTATAGGAATTAGTTCATATTCATGGCCGTGTCCACTCAAAATAACCAATGAATAAATTTGTTGGCTAAATGCATATTATTAAGTTAATTACCGTTTGGACAAGTTGGGCAACATTTGTCTTTTTCATGAATGGCGTCCACGCAGGGTGTGATGAAGCAGTCGGCAATGGCGCACATAGCCTGACCACTTGTAGTACACTGGCAGTATTCGCATGGCGTAGGTTTAAACGAACCAATCGGGTAATAGGAACCTTGGTAGTAACATCCTGCAGTAGTAGTCAATTCCAGGGGAAGTAACTCCCCTTGCACGTAAGTAATCGCAAAAACCAATACTGCAGCCGAAATCATTCCGACTTGTATGGAATAGGAATAGGACAAAGTAAAAATGAGGTCTGAATGACATACTTCTCCTTATCATTTTGGAAGATTATTTACACTCTTCCCAGGTAACAGAGTTCGCATTGTTACTGATATAGTTAAAGTCACGATAATTTTATCAACTGTTGACCTTGACGTTTGATAAGCAACAAGATTAATATGATAGTTTTGAATGTCTTCCAATCGATTCTCCCAATTTGATATAGTAACAAGCAGGTTTACGTATATAAATTAATGACTAAGGTATTGTTTGAGCAACATTTTATTATTAGTCTGTTGATTGTTTTGCATATTTTAACTTTAAGACGGTTACCTCAAGAAATCGACCTTGGTGCTTCTAACGCTTATTATAAGGAAAACTTCTGAGCGATTTTTGTCAAGCATACTTATATAATGTTTACTTCTCAATCAATGAATCAGACAATGACGTACATGTATCACGGTGTGATTTTTGATACAAACAATTTTAGTGACATGTTTTAGCTGACTTTGAAATATACTTTTAATTATCTGTAATTACTTTAAACATCACGAAAAACTTTAATTATGCTAATTACTATGTAACTCAAAATGCGTCAATTTACTGTGGAATCATTTTAATTCGTTGGGGTCAATGTTCGTGGGGAAGCAAAATTTTAGTTGTTCATGGGGACGAAATTTCGTGGATTACTTATTTATATGGTAGATTCAGTGAATCAATATGTTTACAAAATAAAAGTTCGTGGGGATGTTAATTCGTGGGTAAGGGCGACCCACGAAATCCACGAACATTGGTCCCCCACGAACAATGATGATTCCACAGTAACCAATTTACTCAACATGTCATGAGTTATTCTATTTAAGCCATCTGTCACTAATGCTCAGAACTGTGCTAATTGTCACTGTTATATTTTATCATTTATATGTTACATGTATCATTGTTAAGTCCTAGGCTTCGGATTATTCGGGTGCAATTTTTGGATTTCCAGAATTCGCCCTACCGACCTAAGTTATAATAAAGTGCTATTCCATCGTTAGCATTTTTATGTTTCATTGTTACCGGAAAGCTTTTACACTAATTTTCCCCGGTGATACATGTATGTATCAATAATACAATTTTAAATGTTGTTAAACTTTCATTTCATAATTATTTATACAGAAATGAATATAAACAATAAAATGTCTGTATTTGTTAACAGGAGAATGCAACTATTGCAGAGAAATACATACGCACTTTCGGGGGTTACTTACATGTACGATGATTTTTTTTTTTTTTTTTTTTTTTTTCAACATACCGTATAAGAGCCTTTTGACCTTTTGAAATTTTGTCATACTCTGGAGTACCTTTTCTGCTTGGCATCTTTTTAACTGTATTTTTAATAAGTCTTTGAACTTTTTACTATCTCTTGAAAATGTAGTGAAGAGACTGTTATCCTTTTAAGCTCACCTCAACCAAGGGCTCAAGTAAACTTTTCTGATCAAAATTTGTCCCTTGTCTGGCGTCGTCGGAGTTGGCAGTTTTTTGTTTTGTTTTTGTTAAATCTTCTTCTCAAGAATAGTAAGGGTATGATTATTCATATTGAAATGAGAATATCCGCATATAATGTACAGTCAACATTGTTCAAACTATAGGGTAGGGCCACATTAATGGGCAATAAAAGTTTTGCATGAGAATAGGAAATAAAGAAAACAATCTTTAAACATATTTTTTTCAGGAATAGCGGAGGCATAGTAAGTCATATTGTTAGGAAGCATCCTCAAGTAGAAGAGACTCATATTTTTTTTAATAAAGAACCCCCCCCCCCCCCCCCCCGGGTAGAAAGTGGCCACAGTTGACGATCAAAATCTCACATATTACGAAATAAAGAAACCAACGTTAAAAATATTCTAAGCAAGAACATCAGAGGCATGATAAGCCATGTTGACATTGAAGCATCCTCAGGTAGTGTAGATTCAGATTTGTTCAAATGATGATCTCCGGGTTTACGGTCGGGCCAAAATAGGCTATCAAAGTTTTACAAAGGAATATCTGGTGAATACATCTTCTAATGAAGATGAAGCCGGGCCATATATCAGGTGAGCGTTTTCGCCTCTTCTTCTTCTTTCAGGTTTACCTCCTTTACTGTTTAAAGAGCAAATTTATTTCTAGAAATAAAACATGTGAAACAAAAACCGTGGATAATCAAGTAGTCAGAATTAACTCATGTTCTTCAGTTCTGATGTGGGCAACATCTTATATCATTTAATTAACCAAATGTTTATTTTACAGACCCACTGTTCTTTATAATTTTAATAGAACCCATTTGAAAATTTATGTATTTTGTGTGATACTGGCACCCTACTACGATGTAAATGCAATCCATGAGTTTTACAACTGAGTTCAATTAAGCGAGCTTTATATTTTTAGTATGATGACTGCTATGATAGGCTTGATAGCTTGTCTAGATCTGGTTATTTTTTCATTTTTTTTTTTCTGTAACTTCTTTTTTTTAATCTGGTGATTGTCTTTGTACCTTGCAAATTGCTTTCTCCAACTTCTGAGGAAGGAACTTGAAGTATTTTAAAATTTTAGGCCTAGATTCATAATAAACTGAAGGATCCCGTTGATTTAATGAAAATAATATAACAAGAAGGCACACATGTACGAGAAAATTTTTGTATCATCATCAGTTTGATTGATTATTCTAGTTTTACGTCCCTTGCAGGGTTTTTTTTTTATCTCCTATGAGATGACACCAGATACCTGTGAAGGGCTTCAAAAATTAGATCTGCACTCGGCTCTCAACGCCATTGAGGAGTGGCGGTTCTTAAAAGTTTCATTCTAAAGACCCTGAAGCTCGTGCTTGGCAAAGGAACAGTTGGTACCTATTTTATCCACTTAGATTTGTCATGGTTTGGGTGGCTTACATATAGCAGCACCTCTACGTTTATCTTTATTAATTGAATAACGATCAAGGAAAACTTGAAAATAACTAATCGACAAGAGGATAATAGGCTTTTACTCCAACAGTTTCAATATTTCCAGGGCTGATAATGAATAATAATCCAGACATAAAGGAGATCTCTCACTGGAAGGTTATTAATCAGTCCTACAGTACTGATGAGTTTTAAAGTTAATTCAATATTTTATGACAAATTGGAAACGGTTTGTCCGACTAAATAGAAAAATGCAAAAATATTTTCTGTGAAATATTGGTATAAAAGTTTGTGGGTGGCATACATAGAGGGTAATTGATATCGTGTTAGGCATGGAGAATTTTCATTTAAGGAGTGTATATGTTTAAAATCATTAGCTTTTGTTGAACAGGAAGAGCTGAAATCGAATGCGAAATTGATGATGTTGCATATACACTATCAATATTTTATCAGTTACTTCGACATGTCATTTATATCAAGTGGTTTGTCAGGATCAGTGATGAATCATAGTTTTATAAAGACAAAAAGTAAATTTATTTCAGACACAGGACGGAACATGGACAATATTTACACACCACCGGTACAAGCATATATCTCACAATATACATTCATACCCGTATATGAGAAAGAATATACGTACATTGCCTTTTTACAACATTGTAGGTTACTTTGCCAATAAACTATTATTTTAAATAATAATTATTGTGAAAAATTTTAGGAAATATCACAGAAACGAGAGCTCTTCTCATCCAAGATCAACATTTGTAAGATACACGACATAATTAACATAATTAGAATGTTTGAATACAAGCAGAATTGTTGACAATGTAAACTAACGTATGTAAAAATGATATGTAAAGCATAAAGTAAAAAATGCAACATGTCACTGAAAAATGCCAGTCAATCCTTTTTTATCAGCCTATATAAAATTCGATTCTTTTTCTTTCAAAATTGTTTTCGTTCAAAAATGTGTTTAAATAAAGTGTCTGGGATTTTTCTTGTCATGAACATCCGCATTCTGTAACTATCATTCGAGGAAGTTTACTTATAATCACTGCTCCGGTATTGTCAAAGTACATTATACGTAAGGGCTTGTTTTTCTTCTCTGTGCAGTGATATGTATAATTGAACTTTCGGTCCCAATGAGAACCGGAATTGCAGCCCCCAATACACATATTAGTCTTAAAAGATGGTGGAGAAATGACCCAATCGCTCCAGCCAGCTTCCGCAAAAGAAAACACAAGTGGAATTTTACAACACTGGTTCATTTGTGTATGACATTCATTGGTCTGTCTTTTGTCTCGGATATTAATTTTTGTATGGATAAGTAAGAAGGGTCTCGTCCTACTTAGTTTTCTGTTATCTAATTTCCGGGATCTTAATCGATGTCTCTTTCGTCTTCCTTTGGTTTTACCAGCACGTTTCCTCTTCCGTTTAGTGCCATGCAATAGCACCAATTTGGCAAACTTCTTGCAGCCTTTGCATCGGATATGCAACTTGATATTGGCATTATCAGATTTCAGAGCAGCTTCAATTAAAGATTTTGGCAGAAAAAGCTTAAACCAATTTGTTCTAGAAATTTTGGCTTTTCGTGAGGAAATTTGTTGAAGTTTGCGCCCCTTTTCATCAACGGTACTTAGAATGAGCCGAATCCGTCGTGGTTTCGCCTTCTTTCTAGAATTCTTACGGCGTCTCTTGAATTTCACTTGTACAAGTACACTCGCACTCTGTATTTCATGTGTACGATTGTCCTTTGTCATGGAGAATTTGAAAATATTATCGCTCGTGATATTCTCTGCAAAATAAAAAAAAGGAGCATATAGATTATCGAAAGATAAACGAATTAATTAAAAAGTCTCACAAATTAACTTAAAAATTACCAAAGTCATTGGAACTGAAACCTTTAGCAGGATAGAGGGAAGATAAAGTAACAGTGTCTTATTTCATTTTTTACAGTACTTATATATAACATAATACATACATTTGATTTCCATTTACTTTATGCATCGTGTTACTTGCAAGATTTTATTTATCGTTAAGTTTGAATTTAAAAGTTTTTTTTTCTTGTTCTTCTTGATTATCTTCATCCCTAAGTGCCAAATTATATCCAGACGAAAACGCTATACATTTCTTATCTATTTTCATAATATAAATAATTGATCATGTTTGTTTTTATTTATACAAAGACAATTTATAATTTTTGTACTTAAATTCAATTTCATATTTAATCTCTTTTTCAAAATTTAATGAAACAAACATTCTGAGAGTATTGCATCAGCATTACTACTCCTCTATCGGCAAAATGTAATTTGTTGGCATTAAAAATTATAGAGGCACCAATTCCGTCAAAAATCATCGGAGCGTATTGAAATGCAGACTTTCTTTAACTCATTATGATAAACTCACATAAACAAAATCAGCTTAATTCTGTATTCTTTCTTAAGTGTGTAAGAAAAAAATGCGGAAACCAATAGGGACAGACTGACATACAGAAAGAGTGACAGATATACAAAAAGACGCCTAGACAAACAGATGGACAGACGAGGCAGAATTCTTTAGTCTCCAACGGTTTCATCGGTAGGTGAGTAATATAAAATGCAGGTTTTGAATATTTAACAGATAGTACGTAAAACATATCTATTAAAAGGCAAAAAAAAAAATGCAAGATAAGATATGCTGTAATAGTCTTAACTTTTATTTTCAAATTCTGTTGGCTTTCACTAAATAAAAGTTTGAATGTATTGAATCTTTAGAATTAGAATAATAATTGCTCATTGAAGAGTAAAATTTCCAGGAACAACTCATGCTTGAAAATGAATGTCAGTTTGATAAATTAAAGCATTTTAATCACATTCTTATAGGGAGAAAAAACAGTCAACTATTCTTTCCAAATTTTAATTCTAGAAGCTACTTTTAAATAAGCAAGCAATTGAACAAATATCAGCTGAATTTGATAGTGCAGGGGAAAAACAAATTCTTGCATACCTTCGGGCGAAAGAAATTATTTTTAGAAGTTGTTTAAGATATACTTGAAGGTATTTGGCACAATGTTCTCCTGCCGAGTTCCAGCAGTTTAATGATTACGTAGTTAATCAATTGTACATTGAATTATATAAAACTGGAATATATCAAGTTTTATGTTTAAAAAGACTAAAAATATGCATTATGAGCGTTCGTTGTACCTGACTTAATTTAGAAATAGATTATATTTACATTTTTCTGCTTTGTATTCAAAACACAAAATAGGAAGAACCAGAGATGATTCGGGAATAAATACAGGTACATTTGTATGCAATGAAATCATATGCATAATGGACACTTTAAAAGTTTATAAAATTTTAGTCATTTTTGTCAAAAAAAATCTGGCAGAGATTTTTAATTTCGAAAGATACTGTCAAGATAAACATTGTAAATGCATTTGATTTTGCAAATGAAATACGAATTAAAATATATTTCTCTATAAAGGCAGTATACATATTTAGAATTTTGAGTGTTAATTCGAGGAGAAAATTGTTTTGCAACGGGTCTAGAATTTGAAACATTTCCATTATGGTCAGATTAAAAATTAACATGATTGGTTGTTTTATTGATTAATGTATGTTAACGTCCCGGTGAAAGAATTTTTCACTCGCATAGCTATAGAGACGTCACCATAAATGCGAAAGAACAGTTGCTAACTATTTCTTATAGACTTTGGTGTGTCTGTTCCGGCCAGGGCTTGAATTCACGACCTTCTGATCTCAGAGCAAGCGCTCTACCGACTGATCTATTGAAGAATTATACTTAGCACTTTCCATAACACAAATAAAAGTGGCTTGTTTAATTTGTACAAGAAATATACATTTTGCCTGACAAGTCTGTGTGATTTACACACCAATAACTCACATAAAACTTTAAAACATTCCTTAAGAGTATATCAGGTTATTAATATATTCGATCAGTGCATACTATCTATTCAAGATATATTACTAAAGTCAGGTACTCTTCACACAATTGCTCTGAAAAATATAGTTCCATTCATGATCAGTAGATACAACATAACAACAAATGTTTAAAATAATGATGTGTATGTAATACGTTAAAGAAAACAAAATTAACGTTAAAAGATTTTAAGAAAATCGCTTACCCCGAGAAATTTAAATAAAAAGTATTTATATTCCTACGCAAGTTGCCTCCTCAGTCTTTTTCACGAAAATATATAGGTCATTCTTCGATTGATAATGATAAATCTTTTCACCAATTATATTACTTTCATGATTATTGTTCGTTAATTGTCGTATATTTTCTGAGTGAAAATGTTAATCATTAATTGTATGTGTGTGTTTTCTCTTTATTGAAATAACGGAATGGTTACGTACAACACCTTCTCGGCAAAACAACGTGTTTTTCCGGGCTCGCCAGAAAGGTCTGAGAATCTCATCGCACGTGTGTAGACTTAGCTTATTTGGTCTTGCAAGTACAGGTATGTGCACTGTTTGCTAATGCATGACGCTTAGACTGGGTGACAGTATTTGCAACGGACATGAAGAACTATACACCAGTTTCATAACAAGTGCAGTTTTTTTTTTTAGAAATCATCTGAGCACAGTGAAAATTAAAACAAAAAGTCGAATATCTTGGATATGGGGTAACCCATATCTATTCTTGTTTTAGAATTAGCAGCGAACAAGTGTGACACTGCAGAATTATGGACTGTAATAAACAATGGATAATTAATTTCTAGTACATGATGGCTTTATGAAACTAAGACATCCAACAGTTTTTCAGTATTTATGTGACGAGATTATTTCCTAAAATAGTTTTACATGATTGCTTATGTTTCAATAGCTTTACTGAAGAATAGTGCTTACGCACAAGTTGAAAGTCTATCACGTGTACACACAGATAGCATCACAGATTGTTTTTTTACCCAAATGAAAGATAAGTATCAGCTTGCTTTAATTTTAATTGCTCTAAGGATTATATGTACACATTTACCTTCAACATATCAAGATGAATTTAAATGTTTTGTCTTTCACAAAATGAAAAAAGTGAAAATAACGACAGTGCTGGATCTAAAAAAAAAACCAAATCCGAGTCGAACAGGGCACAGAACACAAACCCCCGGAAACCCCAGAGGTAGGACCAGACGCCCAAGAGGAATAACCATCCCCCGCTAACCGGTCACACCTGCCGTGAGCCCTATGCATTGATCAGGCAGACAGAACATTTCGTAGTCAAACTTAGTATAATAACAAAGGTCTAACGAGAGGCCTGGTACATATATGAAACAGGTCAGCCAAAACATAACCCAATCATAGGTTATAATTGTTAACACGGTCATTATAATGAAAATAGAATCCAAGAAACGCTGACCTCAAACGAGGTCGCTGAAACACCCGCATCACCAACCCATCCGCTAGCAACACGCCTCGGCCCCAAAACTGACCGCACCCAGAGCGCCCCCCCCCCCCCCGCATCAAACAGGTTGAAAGATGCTGTCTAAATTTAAATCTGTCAAAATAATCCAATATCAGTAATATATACATGTATATACCTTTAATGGACATTGAAATTCTTACATTGCAGATACATACTGTTCATGTTTTCATATTTTTTCACCCATTTTACACTTTTGAAAACCGGCACCATTGCTATATACCCTATAAACATTTATATTTTCTAACACTTAAACAAATGTATACTTACCGACTGGTTCGGAAAAGGCAATTATTTCTTGAATTTCGGTAAAGCATTTGTTTTCGTGTTTTAACGGTGTTGTCACTGACTTCTCGCTTTCTTCTTCAGTAACCCCTGGATCATCCTGCGGGGGTCTTCCTAGTTTTGTCAAGATAGCGTCTCTGATGATTTTTAAGCTTCGTTCCCTCTGTATCATTTTGTTGAAGTCAACTTTCTTACCGGGAAAATTATCTGCATTGATACTGCATAACAATACATACAGACTGACAAACACTCCGTAATAACGCGCTGTAATGACGTGAACTTTAAATGCCATCTTCTTCCTGGAATGCTCTAGACAGTAAAGTGGTAAATGGAATCTTTCAGAAAGGTTGCTATGAAAGCAAAAAATATCAAAGGAAATAAAGAAGAGCCACATGCATTTTGAACATCGGAGATGATTACTGAGTCTCAGCGCTGCTGCAGCCTTTTCTTTCCCAGTGATAGGATGTCAATTTGCGTTCGCTTTAATAGAAGTCTGCTTCAGCAACAAATCGGTGTATTCATACGAGGAGGGTCACAGCAATCATTCCTTGTTTACGCTGCGGAGGTATTTCTAAAACCTTATCAGGTTAACATTTATTTCTCTGATTCGACCACTGTACGGTAGAGATGTATTGATGAAAAGAGTAACACATAAAGACTTTCCGACATTCAAATTACCCTTGAATAATGATAAAACAATGGTCTTCATGATAAGTGAAAGAAAAAACCAAAATGTGTGTTCGACTCTGTTTTCATGAGGAAAGTATAGTTCGTGGAGCCTTTTATATTATGAGCATTGAATTTACGATAAAACGATACAATGCTTATTTAATTTTGGATATGATAGATACATAATACACATGTTGTTGATACCCTTAATTCAAATCACATTTAAAACATACCCTAACAAAAAAATACTATAGTTAAATATAGTTTACTATAGTAAACTTAGTAAATTATAGTAAATCAAAGTGTCAAAGTGATCACTATATTAAATCAAAGTTTTCAAAGTGTTCACCATAGTGCCATAGTGATCACTATTAATAGCAAATCAAAGTTTTCAAATTGATCACTATAGTATCATACATGTAGTTATCACTATAGTAAATCAAAGTTTTCATAGTGATCACTTTAGTAAATCAAAGTTTTCAAAGTTATCACTATAGTAAATCATAGTGTCAAAGTTATCACTATATTTTACTATAGTAAACTATAATTAACTATAGTATTTTTTTGTTTCAGTAATTGTAGTATGAAAAATATCATGAAATTTTAAATTGACTCATTACAGCTCAACACATCTTCCTTGAATTTTAAAGAAAAAACAAACTTAATTACGAATTGACAATAATCAACTGTTAATCAACTGATAGGCTTGACGTAGTTTCGAAGGAATTAATATTGGGTATGTATTCATTACCTAAAGGCAAATAAGAGGCGAGAAAATCACTGTGCATATACATATTGTCATAATCAAGTATCGATAAGAAGCAATTGCAAAAATGCTTCCTCAGTTAATTCGCAAAATAATGATGATGAAGTCAGGATAAAAGAAGGGGGTAGGCCAAAAGCTACATGTACATACTGTATGTAGACAATGCCAAATGTTGAACATGTAATTCTGTATTTTTTTTTTATATATTCATGACTATGTTTATTTTATAAGTTTATATAAACATGAACATTAAAGTATTTCAATTTTCTTATAAGCTTGCATTTTTTTTATTTCAATTACTTTTCCTTTTCCTTGTCAATAAACACCTGCAAATTATAATATCGAGTATAGTATTTGGAGATTTTTTTATGTACTTAGAGAACATTAACAGTGTATTTACCTGGAAGATTTGTTTACTTTCGCCAACTAAAAAGTATACTTCAAAGTAAACCAGTCTGTAAAAAAAAAAACGCTTTCACATATTTTCAAAAAGCAAAAGAAAACAAAATCCCAAAGACATTACCCTACTACATCATATGATTAGGTAAACAAGAAATATTTCAGTAAATTCTGTTGGAACCGGCAGGGAACTTTGAAATATGTCATGTAATTGAAAAATTAGCATTCTAAAATCGTAGAGGCGACTGTAAAAATGAATACCAGAATATTTCTTACCTTGATATTGAAAAAAAAAGTTTTTGTTTTATGGCGATGTACGACTTCATTTAAATTTATGCCAGACTGTATAAGATACCGAAATCTTGACTTCGTACGTTTTCCCCCTATTGCTTTTTACGAGTCTGGTTGTCTCGAGTTTGAATTTCTTGTTGTAAACGTCAGCTTTAAATTGTCTGATTTTTCGAGAAAAAAAATATATAAACTTGAAGAAGTGCGTTAGGGTGATGACAAAATGAAATGAGGAAAAAGCGCAATCAAAAATTTCAAGGTCGAAGAATGCCAATCACTGCCAGGGTGGGAACAGAGAGACACAAAAGAATTTAGGATTCAGGAATCTTAACAGGCAGTTTTAGTATTCAATATAGCTTTTTTTCTTGACCTGTATTGCTTTCTGTTTTTCTTTCAAATTTCATCGACACTTTAAAAAATCTCAAAATATGCATATATTATTTTTTTATTAAAATACACGTTATCTAAATCTTACTTTTTTCTCTATCTTTTGTATTGATTTGCTTAATAGTTGAAAATTTTTACCGCCATTTTTACCCGATAAAAATTACTCAGCAATACAGACATACACTGTATTATATTGTCTGTTTTAACCCACAATTTTTGGAAAATATTTTACATTGCTTGCATGCAAGTGTTTTGAACAGGAATTGATCATTTTTTTTAATTAAGCTGCTCAGAAAAAAAATTAAACTTAAAAAAAAAAACCTACCGAATTAAAAATTTCAGTATCAGAAATGTAAACCTTGCTTGATGAAGGGGTACTTACTTTCCAATTTTTTTTTGTAGCACTTATACTATAGATGTTCCAAGCGACTTCAACTGTTTAAAGGATTCATAATTTTCCATTTATGGGACAGTAATGGATATATTATTTTCAAATGAAGTACATGTATGAAATCCCAGATTGACACAATTTTTTATTTATTTATTTATTTATTTATTTATTTATTTTGCATTTTTACATCCATCTGTATCCTGCTGTATACAATTCCTTAATTTGTATAAAATAAATATTTTTAAATCGTCATATTTTTAGATGACGATTAACCGGTATGAAAGGATTCACATGGTTCTTTGTCTAAAATCGATTTTTTAGTTTTGTTTTGATGACTTTCCTAGCTTGTTATAATTAAGGGACAATTAAAAATCTTAACCCATTATTAGTCTTGTTTTGCTGATAAGTCTGTGCAGAGTGGTCTTATATATACATGTAGGCTATATTAAAGTAAATGTTTGGTTCATTCATTCATTCATCATTTATTTCCTCTATTACAGAGATTTTTTAACATGACAAATATAACATGAATAAATTATGAATCAATCAAAGTGTGAGGAGAAAAAAGAATACATATTATAAGTAATGAAAAAAGAAAAGAACAAAAAATCAAAGAACAAAAATACGCAAAACTGCGAATGCAGAGAATAATAATTTATGAAATGTTACATTAAAAAATAAAGTGAAATTTGGAATTTCATGACAATGTTGAAGTATAGTTTTAAAATAAAGAGAAACATCTCAGATGCAATGTTATTGTATGCAATAAAGTAATGTTAATTGTCGGCTCTATGCAACAATTGGAACCCCGTACCAGAACTCCATCTACCAGCTGCAGGTATTCATCCCAAATACAGGTGCCTGGTGTTGTAACAGAAATCGCTATTGCGTAATGATAATTTAAAAGATTAAAAGTATTCTTATCATTAAGTTTCATCTTTTTGACAATGCATTAATTTTAGGCCACTCCTATATCTGTCTTGATTCCAAACAAGAAAAAAGCTCTGTAGATTTTAAAAGCCAGAATGGATTTTGTACAATAGAATGCTTTGTATTATAAATCTTGCAGAAATATTATTAAACAGATACTATTTTTTTCACGTAAAAATTATATAAGGTAATGTTATAATTTGAAATCGAAATCGAAACATTTCTAGAAATGACTCTTTATAGCATACAGATATACATGTACATACAAAAATTCGTACATCGAAGAATTCAACTCATTTTAGAAAATCAAGCAGGCTTTCGTAGAGGTATGGGTACAATAGATCATATTTTTTCATTATATTCTCTTGTAGAACTTTTTAGAAGACATAAAATGAAATTGTACTGTGCATTTATAGATTTTGAGAAAGCATTTGATTCGGTTTGGCATGTCGGACTATGGAATAAAGTTTTACAAAATAATATTGATGGAAAATGCTTTAAGATTATAACCAACATGTATAAAGGTATTAAATCAAAAGTAGTAGTTAATGGAATAAGTTCAGAAATGTTTGAATGTAGTATAGGAGTTCGGCAAGGGGAGAATTTGTCACCATTTTTATTTTCATTGTACTTGAATGACCTTGAGGAATTTTTATCTGGAAACAAAGCTAAGGGTTTACCTTGTTTGTCAGAAAAACTCGAAAGAGAACTAAATCTCTACTTACAGCTTTTTGTTTTATTATATGCAGATGATACTATTTTGTTATCAGAAAACGCAGATGATTTTCAGTACATGCTAAATACGTTTTCTAAATATTGCAAGACATGGCACCTTAAGGTTAATAGTAAGAAAACAAAAGTTGTAATATTTGGTAGAGGTAAAAATAATAGCTCTTTTACATTTGAAGGCTCCAAGCTTGATATAGTTGACAACTTTAAATATTTAGGTGTTACATTTTGTAAAAGTAATTCTTTCAATTTAAATACCAAAGAATTATATGACAAAGCTACTAAAGCAATGTATAGTGTTATTGGTAGATGTAGAAAACATAACTTATCAATGGATTGTAAATTAGACATGTTTGATAAAATTATCAAACCATTACTTCTATATGGATGTGAAATGTGGGGTTTTCACAATACTAAACTAATAGAGAAATTACACCTAAAATTTTGTAAACATATTCTAAGCTTGAAAACATCAACACCAAACTTTATGGTGTACGGAGAACTTGGTAGACACCCTTTATTAATTGATATCAAAGTTAGAATGATCTCATTTTGGGGTAAACTTATTAATGCTCAGAGCTCTAAATTGTCTGCAAAACTTTTATGTGCATTGAAAATATGTAAGAATCCATGGTGTGATTTTGTTCAGAAAATTTTAAATGAATGTGGATTGACTTATGTGTGGTATGAAAATTCAATTAATATATCTTGGCTAAAAAATAAGGTATATACCACTCTCTTAGATCAGTTTAAGCAAACATGGTTTAGTGATGTACAAACTTCCCCTAAAGGTTTGAACTATAGAATTTTTTAAAAATCATTAATCTTTGAAGACTATTTGTTGAATTTGCCTCCTAAACAATCCAAGAAATATTGTTTATTTAGAACTG